TTTTTTTTTGGATTGGTATTTGCGTGGTATTTTTTTTCCATCCTTTTACTTTTAAACTTTTCTGTCCTTGAAGCACCAGATGTCCATCAACTGATAAATGGATAAATAAAATGTGATAAACTCATTAAGTGGAGTATTATTTAGTCATAAAAAAGAATGAAATACAGATTCATGCTGCAGCATGGATGAACCTTAAAAACATGCTGAATGAAAGAAGCCAGACACAAAAGGCTACATATTATGTAACTCCATTTATATGAAGTGTCCAGAAAAGGCAAATTCTACAGAGACAGAAAGTAGATTAGTGGTTTCCAAGGCCTGGGGGCATTAAAGAGGAATGGGGAGTGACTGCTAACGGGTTTCTTTTGGGGGTAATAAAAATGTCCTAAAATTGTGGCGATGGTTGCATAACTGCGAATATATTAAAAACCATTAAGTTGTACAATTTATTTATTTATTTATTTATTTATTTATTTGTCCTGTTTTGTGACCGGTAAGGGGATTGCAACCCTTGGCTTGGTGTCGCCCGCACCGCACTCAGCCAGTGAGCGCACCGGCCATCCCTATATAGGATCTGAACCCGTGGTGGGAGCGCGGCTGCGCGCCCAAGCGCCGCACTCTCCCGAGTGCACCACAGGGCCGGCCCTAAGTTGTACAATTTAAATGGGAGAATTGGGTTTGTGAATTATATGTCAATAAAGCAGTTATAAAAAATGAATTACCTAAAATATTAAATATAGTAGTTTTAGTTGTGTTGGGACAGGTTTTGTGAACATCTAGTCGACCATATTGCTTGAAACTGACATTTGTTCTTACTTTTTTCAGGCATCATAACAAAAGCAAATGAATTATTTTTTCTTCAAGTTTATGAATATGATGAAGTGATGTTTCCAAAGAACGTGAGGTGCTCTTCTTGTGATTTAAGAAAACCAGCTCGATCCAAGCACTGTAGTAAGTGGGCTCTCCTGGTTCTAGCTGTACACTCCACAATGCACACATGGGCTTTGTCTGTAAGGGAATGTTTCATGAATCTAAAAGCAGAGCCATCTGATCCCCAGATGTGAGGTGGCCACTACTGGTAGAGGCCAGATAATGGTTTCTTTCAGATGACCGAGGGTATAGTCTTGTGTTCTTGTATAGTGGATGACTCTCAGCCCTGGGCATAACAGCCCTTCCTTGACATGTGGCAGGGCATGCTGCCCAAGAGATGTTTCTGTGGGATGTTGTGTTTGCAGATTTTAGTGGGAAACCTAGTCTTCTGGGGAGCGCCCAAGATTCTAGACTAGTGGTGCCTACCAAAAATATAATGTGAGCCACATATGTAATTTTAAATTTTATAGTGGCCACACTACAAAAGCAGTAAGAGACAATTAATTTTAATCATATATTTTATTTAACCCAACATACCTAAAATATCATTTTAACATGTACAAAATTATTTATGAGATAGTTTATATTCTCTTTTTCATATTAAGTCTTTGAAATCTGGTGTGTCTGCTTCATTTATAACACATCTCAATTCGGACACTAAACTTTCATTGGAAATACTTGATCAATATTTAGAGTTCATAAAATTTACAGTTGGAAGAGTAGACTCACATACCCAAGCTATATCCAGACATTCTTAAAAGTTTTCCAGTAACTGAACTGAATACCAAAATATCATTTTCTTTTACTGTCCACATCTACATTGAAATAATGTTCATCTTCATGAGGAGAATTGACTTGACTTTAAAGCAAAAACATCAGTTTTAAGACTAAGTATGTCCAAATTAGGTAAATTCACTAACTCATATCACCTCAGTATTATTCACATTGAATTCGAAGGAATATTGTATAAATTGAAAAAACTAAATTTGTCAATACTGACAAAGTATTCTTTCAGATTTTTCTTGTAGCCATATTTCAAGTGCTCAATAGCCACATGGCTACTGTATTGGACACTGCAGTTCTAAAAGCTTGGAGATGACAGCTGCCATTTCTCTCTACTCATACTGCCAGTGGTCAGTTTGTAAAAATCTCCATAAGTGTGCGCAATGTCATTGTCTCATCACGGACCAACCCAGTGCATAGCTCCCTTGTTTCTGTTTAGGTGTGTGTAACTGGTGTGTGCATCGTTTTGACCATCACTGTGTTTGGGTAAACAACTGCATTGGGGCCTGGAACACCAGGTACTTCCTCATCTACCTCTTGACGTTGACGGCCTCGGCTGCCTCCATGGCCATTGTGAGCACTGCGTTTCTGGTCCACTTGGTGGTGGTGTCGGAGCTGTACCAGGAGACTTACATTGATGATCTCGGACACTTCCAGGTTATGGACACAGTCTTTCTTATTCAGGTAATTATGCTGTGGGCTGTAGGTTTCTGACTTCAGGTTTCAGAATTGGAGAAAGAATGTTTGTTTTCCCAGTAAAAACATGAAACTATTCCTTTTTTAAAAAATTGATATAAAATGCACATGCCATAATATTCACCCTATTAAAGTGTACGGTTCAGTGGTTTCAGTGTATTCACAGAGTTATGCAACCATCACCACTATCTAATTTTCAGAACATTTCATCACCCCAAAAAGAAACACTCCCCTTTTCTTCCTCCCACAGACCCTGGCAACCACTAATCTATTTTCTGTCTTTATGGATTTGCCTTTTCTGGACATTTCATGTAAATGAAATCATACAGTATGTGGCCTTTTCAAGGTTCGTCCATGTTGGAGCATGAATCTGCACTTCATTCTTTCTTATGGCTGAATAATATTTCATTGTAGGGATATACCACATTTTATTTATTCATCAGTTGATGGACATTTGGGTGTTTCCACTTTTTGGTTATTTTTTAATAATGCTGCTGTGAACATTCACTTACAAGTTTTTGTGTGGACATCTGTTTTCATTTCTCTTCAAAATGTACCTAGGAGTGGAATTACTGGGTCTTATGGTAACTCTGTAATCATTTGAGGAACTGCCAGGCTGTTTTTCAAAGTGTACCATTTTACTTTCCCACCAGCAATGTATTGGGTTTCCAGTTTCTCCACATCCTTGCCAACACTTTTTATTACCTGTCTTTTGATTATAGCCTTCCTCGTGGGTATGAGGTGGTATCTCCTTGCGGTTTGATTTGTATTTCCTTAATGATTAATGATGTTGTGTGTCTTTTCATGTACTTATTGGCAATTTGTATATCCTCTTTGGAGAAATGTCTATTCAAAACCTTTGCCCACTTAAATTGCGTTACGTGTCCTTTATTGTTGAGTTGTAAGAATTCTTTATCTATTCTGGACACTAGAGCCTCATTAGATATATTTCTCCCATTCTGTGGATTTGTCTTTTTATGTTTTTGATAGTTTTCTTTGAAACAGAAGAGTTTTTAATTTTGATGAAGTTCAGTTTATCTGTTTTTCCTTTTGTTGCTTGTGCTTTGGTGTCATATTTAAGAAACCATTGCCTAATCCAAAGTCATAAAGATTTATACCTATGTTTTCTTCTAAGAGTCTTATAATTTTAGCTCTTACATTTAGGTCTTTGATATATTTTGAGTTAGTTTTTATATTTGGTGTAAGGTAGATTTACATCTTTATTCTTTAATATGTGGATATCTAGTTGTCCCAATACCATTTCTTGAAAAGACTTCTTTCCCATTGACTTGTTATGACACCTTGTCAAAAGTAATTTATCATAATGTAGGGGTTGAAGACAATCTTTTAAAAAACTGATTTGGGAGGGGAGGGAGGGAAAAAACAAACAAACAAACAACTCATTTGATCACTAAACAACTTCTACTTCATTTATGGGAAATAGCATATGAGTAGTCATTTTTTGGGGTTAACTGCTTAATTCTCCTTGAATGTTTTTTATTTCTTTTGTTTCAAAGAAAATAATATGTCATGCACAAGTGGGACATATTCCAGAAATGCAAGATTGGTTCAATATAAGGAAATTGATTAATATTATCCACCACATATTAAATATAAGGAGCAATGACCTGGTTATTTGTTTAGATGCTGAAAAGCCTTTCACAAAATTCAACACTTGTTCATGATTAAAAAAACACTCAAAAATAGGAACTGAAGGATATTGAAGGATATTTTCTTAACATGATAAAACACACAGAACCACTTAGTCTTTTTTTTTTTTTTTTTTTTTTTTTTTTGTCTTTTTTTGTGTCCGGCAATGGATCCCAACCCTCAGTGTCGCGCCTGTACCGGACCGGAACCGGCAACGGGATCGCAACCCTCAGTGTTGCACCCGCACCTCGCTCAGCCAGTGAGCGGGAACCGGTCTGTATGTGGGATCCGAACCCTCGGCGGGAGCGCCACCGCGCTCCCAAGTGGCGCACTGTAGCAGTGCGCCCCCGGGCCGGCCCAGAACCACTTAGTCTTTTTTTTTTTTTTTTTGTCTTTTTTTGTGTCCGGCAATGGATCCCAACCCTCAGTGTCGCGCCTGTACCGGACCGGAACCGGCAACGGGATCGCAACCCTCAGTGTTGCACCCGCACCTCGCTCAGCCAGTGAGCGGGAACCGGTCTGTATGTGGGATCCGAACCCTCGGCGGGAGCGCCACCGCGCTCCCAAGTGGCGCACTGTAGCAGTGCGCCACCGGGCCGGCCCAGAACCACTTAGTCTTAAAGCCAGTATCTTTTTTAAAACTATTATTTTAAAATAATTATAGTTTATTGATTTATGGGAGGTTACAAAGAAATACACAGGACATCCCATGCACTCCTAACCCTCTCCTCCTATGCCACTATTTTATACAACCAAGTACAATGCTAAAAATCAAAAAAGTGACATGGGCACAATCCACAGAGCTGATTCACTAGTTGTATGTGTGTGTGTGTGTGTGTGTGCGCGCGTGTGTGTAGCTCTGTGCAGACTTGTGTGTGTAGCCTTGTATAACCACTACTACAATCAAGATGCTCAATTTTACACAAGACTCCTTCGCGTTACCCCTTTATGGCCACACCCATCTCCCCTGCATCCCTAACACCTGGCCACCACCAATCCATTCTCTATTTCTATAATTACGTTATTTCACAGTTGTTTCATAAATAAGAGTCATAAAGTATGCATCCTTTTGAGGTTGGCTTTTTTCACTCAGCATAACTCCCTTGATAGCCATCCACATTGTTGCATGTATCAGTAGCTCATTCCTTTTTATTACTGTGTATTCCATGGGATGCATGTATCAGTTTGTTCAACCATTCATCCTTTGAAGGACAGAGCAGTTGTATTATTTTATATTCCCACCAGCATCCCTGCTGGCATTTAATGTTATCACTGTTTTTCACTCTAGCCATTTTGATAGGTACGTAATGATACCTCATTGTTGTTCTAACCTTGAGTGGTTTTTATTCTTAAATTTTATCCAGTTATGAAAATTTCCAGACCCAGAAGAGTTAAAATAACAGAAGTGACTACCCATAAACCGTCCACCTAGTTTTAAAAATTTAACATTTTAATCTGTTTTCTTTCTGTATATGTGATATATTTTTTTCTGTATTGTTAGAAATAAGTTGGAGATATCGTCACTTCACTGAGCTTGCATGCATCTTTTAAGTATGTCTACATATTGTATAACTACAATTCTGTTATCCCACATAAGAAAAGTAATAATAGGTCTATATTTTATCTAGTCCATATTCAAGTTTTGTTCTGAATATATCTCTTATAAATCTTTTACCTTCCTGAAACAGAATCCACTTTATAGTTATGCCTTGCACTTGAGTGTTATTTCTTTTTAGTCTCTTGTAAGTCTAAAACAGTGCCCCTACCTTTTTTTCATGATTTTTTTTTTTGTAGTCTAGTTGTCTTTTAGAATGCCCTATGGTCTAGATTTCTCTGTTTCCTAGTTGTGCCATCTAACTTTTTTCTATTTCCTTATATTAGTGTAAGCTGGAAGTTAGTTTTAGAGGCTTAGTTAGATTTGGGTTAAATATTTTTGGCAAAAATATTGCTTATGGAACAATGTGTATTTCATATTGCATCCCATGAGGTGGAACATAGTATCAGTAACTCCAGGTTTGATCCATTATTGGTTAAGGTGGTGACCACCAGTGCTCTCTCCATTGGTAAAGCTCATTTTCCCCTTTGCAGTGGGTAATCTATGGTTTTGTTTTTGTATCTAGGACTATTTCGTTAGGAGAGATTCCAAAAAATACAAATACTGGATCAAAGATTATCAACATTATAATACTGTTGATATTAATATATAGTCAAATTGCTTTTCTAAAGCTTATTCTTAGAGCAGAGTATAAGTGTTAATTTCACTGCATCGGAGCAGGCACTGCCGCTGCCTGGGTGTGGGAAGGGTTTTCTAGTTTGATAGGAAAATATGGTGTACCTTTTTAAAAAATTATATTTCTTGGATTAGTTTTGATTACTTTCCTTGTTTGTCAGTCATTTGTATAGCTTCTTTGTGAGATTCTTTGTGAACACCCTTGACCTTGATGTTACAACACTGTGCTCTAACCATCCAAGCTAACCGGCCAGCCTAAATTCTTCATTTTCTTAGTTACAAAAATAACATAAAAATTCAAGCAGTCCAGAAGTAGTGTTTAAAATGAAAAGTGAGAATTATCTCCTCCCCACCCCTGCTCCACTTCCCAGAGGCAACCACTTTTGTAGCTGGTGTGTGTATTTCCAGGCTTTTTTCCTATGTTTATTCATTTGGCCATACACCATCACAGAATTTGTTTTGTTTTGTTTTTACACAAATAAGATCACATTGTGATCCTTGCATCTTGCCTTTCTCATTGGGCAATGTATCACGGTTTTTTCAATATCAGTCCATAGAAATTGACCTCATTTTAATGGCTCCTATTATTCCATAGCGTGACTATCCAAGGGTTTATTTTACTCTTCCTCATGGATGGACATTTAACTTGTTTCTTTCAGGAAGACAGGCTATTAAAATCAATGAATGTCCTTGTACATGAATTTTTGTAGTTGTATTGTTTTAAGAGACATTGCTCTCTTTTGTCCAACTAGATTTTATTTTGATGTGCGAACTAGGTTTCGGTTTATTTATGTTATAAATAGCTAACTGGCATAGCACCATTTCCTGAGTAACCTTTCCCTTTTCCCTCAATGTGAACACTTCATTTAACCCATAGTAGAATCTTGTACATACTAGGATTATTCCTGGACTATTTATCAGTGCTGTTTATGGTTCTGATTTATGTTCAGTGGGTCAGATTTGAGCACAGGAAGGTGAGCTGAGGAGGCAGCTGTTTTGTATCTGTGGGCAGGACCAGGGCTGGTGGGTGCTGACCCTTAGAAATGTCACAGTCCAACTGCCTAATATGCTGTTGCTTCTTTGCCTCCAGTACCTGTTCCTGACCTTCCCAAGGATTGTCTTCCTGCTGGGGTTTGTCATGATCCTGAGCTTCCTCCTGGGGGGCTACCTGTGCTTTGTTCTGTACCTGGCTGCCACCAACCAGACTACTAATGAATGGTACAGAGGTGACTGGGCCTGGTGCCAGCGTTGGCCCCTTGTGGCCCAGCCCCCATCAGCGGAGCCCCAAGTCTACCAGAACATTCACTCCCATGGGCTTTGGAGCAACCTTCGAGAGATATTTCTACCTGCCAATCCACATTATGAGAAAAAAAAGAAATAAGAATGAAAAGTGTTACTGTCTTTTAAATATAGTATACATTTATTTATACACATGGATACTTATGTTCTCAGTGTTGTTTTTTGATTTCTGCTGTGTGTTTATAAGTCGACTTTCAGTGGGTAAGGAAGGGAAGGGACAACTAGTGTTTACTGAGTGCCTCATCTTCGCCAGGTGCTGTGGTAGATTGCCCCCTTGCTTATCCTCTGTTGGAACCGAGCACCTCTGAAGTCCTAGTGTCAAGGGGATCCAGAATGACTTCTCAGAGGTTCCATGTAACACAGAGACCTTGGTCTCTCGCTCTAGACTCTGGGCTCTTGGACAGGAAGGGCTTTACGACTGTCTCCTAATGTGCAGGACAGGGTCTCAGTGACTCAACGTCTCGGAGCTGTGCCTGGATGCGCCTTCTTTATTGCCCTTCCCTATTCTCTATCCCCTCTCTCCCAGGGGATTTTCATCTCCTTAACCACCACAACATCCTCACCCAGGCCTGCCTTTGAGCCAGCATGGGCTTTATACGAGGCACATTCCTGTACCTGTGGCCTGCCTGCCCTCCACGGCCTCTTTTGGCCATATTCAAGTCTTTTCTGCCCTGTTTAAAAATTCCAAAACGAAACAGCTAATTCAATGCCTAGAGATGACTGCTGACCACCAGAAGAGTTTCATATAACGTGCTGAGGATTTTTAGAAGCAGGACGGAGGTGGGTTGGATCTTGTGGGCTACCTAAGAGTCCCATGGCCCTCCCAGGTGAGGCCAAGGATCCAGCATGCAGGGAAGCCAGGCTATTGGAGATTATTGGGGAATAGGGACCCTGGGAATAGGAAGTAGGGAGTAGGGCGGTCCTTACCGGGCATCATCTGTCACAGTAGCCCCTGTGTGCAGAACAGATGTAATCTTTAAGATGGACTGTGGGGGCCAGCCCGTGGCTCACTCGGTAGAGTGCGGTGCTGATAACACCAAGGCCATGGGTTCGGATCCCATATAGGGATGGCCGGTTAGCTCACTGGGTGAGCGTAGTGCTGACAACACCAAGTCAAAGGTTAAGGTCCCCTTACCGGTCATCTTTAAAAAAAAAAAGATGGATTGTGGGGACCTCGAGGGAATCCAAGCCAAGGCTAGGCACCCCAACCCCCACCCTCCCATCCTCGCTGGTGGCAAAGCACGGTGAAATCAAATGGTGGAGGCTTTGAACGCCGCGCAAAACTAGCCAGGGAGCCTCGGAAAGCCTCGAGTGGGCATTCACTGGGGTATGTGGCAAGCTGGACTTGGCGGCGGCTCCTGGTCTTGTGGCCAGGGGGCGGGGCGGGGCGTACCTCCGGCATGTCGTATAACTTCGTATAATGTATGCTATACGAAGTTATTACGGGTCGGGGCGGAGGCGCGGTCGCGCCTCTTTGTCTCCGCAGGCGGCGGCGCGTCCCCGGCTCCCGGGCGGAAGTAGGACGCTCTGGGGCCGCGGCGGCCGCACCATGAGCGACATCCGCCACTCGCTGCTGCGCCGCGACGCGCTGAGCGCCGCCAAGGAGGTGCTGTACCACCTGGACATCTATTTCAGCAGCCAGCTGCAGAGCGCGCCGCTGCCCATCGTGGACAAGGGCCCCGTGGAGCTGCTGGAGGAGTTCATGTTCCAGGTGCCCAAGGAGCGCGGCGCGCAGCCCAAGGTGCGGCGGGGCGGCCGGGGCCAGCGGACCGGGTGACCGCCCCGACGGGTCCCCGATAGGCCCCCTCGATGACAAGTGTTTCCCTAACCTCAAACGCCGTTCGTTCAGGGGCTCCGTTCTCATCCCGGCTTTGCTCTTGCAGCAGTCCCCAGACCCACTTCTCTGCAGTCGCGCGGCGTTGCTTAGCTGCGTGCCTGTTTTGCTGGGCGTGTGACAGCCGTGTATCGCTGGTGTTAGAGCAAGAGACTTTGGGGACTGCCCACTCACTAAAGGCTTGTTAGCCTGTTATCGAGACCGTTGTGGGTCATATTGAGTCCTCCACGATGATGTATGGTATACTCATATGTAATCTTTTTCTGAGATTAACAGCAAAGTTCTACTTCTTGGGACCTGGGCTTCAGAAGGGTGAAAAGTACTCTCAAGGAAATAATATATTTCCTGTTTTCTTACTGTGTGAATTAATTAGCATGTTAAAGCCAAATTTCTTATAGCTTCTCCTGGATTTGTTTTGCAGAGACTGAATTCACTTCAGGAGCTTCAACTTCTTGAAATCATGTGCAATTATTTCCAGGAGCAAACGAAGGACTCTGTCCGACAGATTATTTTCTCATCCCTTTTCAGTCCCCAAGGAAACAAAACCGATGACAGCCGGATGAGCTTGTTGGGAAAACTGGTCTCTATGGCCGTGGCTGTGTGTCGAATCCCAGTACTGGAGTGTGCAGCCTCCTGGCTTCAGGTAGTACTGCTCTAGAAATAGCCTTCCTTCTGAGAGTGAAGAGTTTACTGTCAGTAATTTTCTTTCTTTTTTTTTTTTTTTTCTAAAAATGACCAGTAAGGGGATCTTAACCCTTGACTTGGTGTTCTCAGCACCACGCCCACCCAGTGAGCTGACTGGCCATCCCTATATGGGATCCGAACCCGTGGCCTTGGCGTTATCAGAACCACACTCACCCGAGTGAGCCACGGGCCGGCCCCTTTTTTATATTTATTTATTTTTTTTTTTTCCTTTTTTTTGTCTTTTTTTACTGACGGGTAACGGGATCGCAACCCTCGGTGTCGCGCCCGTACCGGGGTCCGGCAACGGGATCGCAACCCTCGGGGTTGCGCCCGCACCGCGCTCAGCCAGTGAGCGGGAACCGGTCTCCACATGGGATCCGAACCCTCGGCGGGAGCGCCACCGCGCTCCCAAGCGGCGCACTCTCCAGTGCGCCACCGGCCGGCCCTAGTAATTTTCATTTAATTGGTTTTCTCGAGGTCTTTTCCTCTTATGTTACTTCCTTGATCATTACTGCCTTGTGTACTGATAGCTGCACCATAGTCCCATTTTTATATAGAGAAAGTAACCACTCTTGAGAACATAGTAGTTTGTAATGGTAAATGATTTTTTTTTTTTTTTTATGAAGGAAAAAAGAAAAGGTCCAATCTTCAGAACAACTGAAAAATCTTTTTCTTAGGTGAGAATGATAAGGTAGTATTTTGAAAAAGTATGCATGTAGTCTCAAAGATAAGATTTTTTTAAAAAGGATTATTATATATCAAATCGTGACAATGTTTACTTGTCATTAGGAAGTTGTTACTGACAAGTTAGGTGAGTAAGCATGTGAGTTGTTTTACAGTAGAACAGTGTGACATCACAAAATTGGTGGCTTTTCTAATGGATATAGATATAAGAGCCTTCTCGACTGTTTTTAAATATTACATGTTATATAAAATGTATATTTACAATAGGTTTAATTAGATGGTATTTTGGAAGATTCATTTTGTTTTGCTTTTTTGCTACTCAGAGTCTTTGAAAAGTTGATAATCCATTTAGAACAATTATTAGTCAAAAATTTTGAATCATCTGATTGTTAGCCAAGCTAGCAGAATTAACTGCATTTAGTTTCATAAACCTGCCTCATTCTCAAGTACTGGAAAATTTTTTTCCAATTTAATTAAATGTTTTTCTTGTAATCTTACTTAACCTTAAAATTTGACTAGCAATAATATATTATTTGTAGGGCTGGCTGGTTAGCTCACTTGGTTAGTGCATGGTGCTGATAAAACCAAGGTCAAAGGGTTTGGATCCCCACACTGGTTAGCTGCCCCCCAAAAAAGATTTAAAACATTATTTGTAGAACACAGGTAAATCTCAGTGGAATCTGTACCTAAATTTTCACTAATCCAATTTCTGGGGCATCTAAATTGATCATGTGCCTTATATTTAATCTCAGAATTACCTTTATCTCTTGACAGCCTAGTGAAACCAAGTTTAACATCTTCTAATTTAGGGCCGGCCCATGGCTCACTTGGGAGAGTGTGGTGCTGATAACACCAAGGCCACGGGTTCAGATCCCTATATAGGGCCAGCCTGTGGCTCACTTGGGAGAGTGTGTTGCTGATAACACCAAGGCCACGGGTTCAGATCCCTATATAGGGCCAGCCTGTGGCTCACTTGGGAGAGTGTGTTGCTGATAACACCAAGGCCACGGGTTCAGATCCCTATATAGGGCCAGCCTGTGGCTCACTTGGGAGAGTGTGTTGCTGATAACACCAAGGCCACGGGTTCAGATCCCTATATAGGGCCAGCCTGTGGCTCACTTGGGAGAGTGTGTTGCTGATAACACCAAGGCCACGGGTTCAGATCCCTATATAGGGCCAGCCTGTGGCTCACTTGGGAGAGTGTGTTGCTGATAACACCAAGGCCACGGGTTCAGATCCCTATATAGGGCCAGCCTGTGGCTCACTTGGGAGAGTGTGTTGCTGATAACACCAAGGCCATGGGTTCAGATCCCTATATAGGGCCTGTCCGTGGCTCACTTGGGAGAGCGTGGTGCTGACAACACCAAGTCAAGGGTTAAGATCCGCTTACTGGTCATCTTTTTATTTTTTTATTTTATTTATTTTTTAAATTTTTTGTCCTTTTTTGAGACTGGCTGCAGTGGGCTCAGCCAGTGAGTGCACCGGTCATCCCTATATAGGATCCGAACCCGCGGCGGGACTGATCTCCCAGCGCCGCACTCTCCCGAGTGTGCCACGGGCTCGGCCCTAAACCTCAGTTTTCTGAGGCTTCTAATTATTATAACATTAATGATTAAAATTTTTGTAGAGTAATTACTATGCAGGCCGAGGTTTGCAATCCCGTTGCCGGTCCCCGGTCTGGTACGGGGGCAACACTGAGGGTTGCGATCCGTTGCCGGACACGGAAAAAAGACAAAAAAAGACAAAAAAAAAAAAAAAAAAAGAATTTATCTTGTGGTGCTGTTGTGCTGGCATTTTGGCAAAATGAAAGCAGATGTGAACAACAGAAAAAGGTCTTAGTGGTTTGGATCAGGGTTTGGCACGCTGGAGTGAGGAACTGCAGCTTTCTCCTGTGTAAAAGTAGAGAAATTGATGTTCTTAATGGCTGGTT